GCAAGGGATTTGAGGCCAAGTTGTTAATGAAACTGCAACACAGCAGATGTTGAGGAGGGGAGTGTTGAGAGACTGATAAGGTTTTTCAGTTGTGATTGTGATTGTGATTGCGATGAGAGGGAATGAGATGGGAATGAAGGGGGTGTGGCTTGCTAAACCCTTCCTATTGATCCCTATCGCTACCATGTGGATGGATTGCGAGATAACCGGGCTTCTCGAAGGTGAAATTCTAGGGGACCTTGATGTCAGTCAGCCTCAAAATATGTAGACATTGCCAGCTGGTAACTCTGATCAGACTTGTGGAACGACATTCGTTCATTATATCAATACGGAGTCAGGGAGTATAGTCAGCTTGGATCACTCAAAGCCTCAGTCCGATCAACTGCAAATCATTATCGCTCTCTGCTTATCAGATCTGCATTGCCCAGTATTATCTGCATATGTTTCCTACCACTTCACCAAGTCACACTTACACTCGCAGTTTGCAATTGAAGTTGCAATGTGCCTAGAAGAGTATCATAGTTGGTCCCGCTGTAAAAGGACGCTCCGCAGATATGCGTGAAGCGTCAGATCCCCCATGCATGTCCTTATCATCATGGATCCAGCTTGAATAACCATTGGGCAGACTCACGATGCTTTAGGCAATTATTCAGAAGCCCCGCTGCGCCGTTGCTGCTAGAAAGTGGAGGTTTTGCATCTAACCCTGCCTCTTGAGGGTGAGGAAATAAAACTGCATCATGTCTATGACTTTTGAGGAAGCTGTGCTGTCTGATAGAAGTCAATGGCTGATAAGACGCATATTCAACCATTACCAATGCTATATCTTGAGAATGTATGTCTCTAAAGTTCTGAATTGTTTGTCTAGGTAGAGTTCAAAGTTACAGTTGCAAACTTTGAGCCAAGGCTGACGTATTTTGTCGGCCGCTTGGCGGAACCTCTGCTGCGTTTCACAGGGATCATCACTGGGTCATTCTTGGGTCATTTCTTGGATTTTTCTTTCGCTTTGGTCACGTTCACCCTTTCATTCTCGGCTATGCAACCCGCAAGGGAGACCCACGTTTGGTTCGTGACATTTGATGGTTTCTGTTAGCAATTGGCTTTCTTGATTGGATGCTTCATCTCTCTTTTAATGCGGCTGCTGGATGGTTTGGTTCCCCGACGAGGCTACACTGGGTTATCCCTTGACAACAAAAAGTGAAGGACAATGGTCGAGGTTGAGATAGAGAGAAGTGGCGTGGCTAAGGTTTCGGAATCTTTTGGTTTGGATTCCTATTCGAACATGGCGTATGCAGGTCCTTGTTGGTTGGCTAGGTTGGATTCTCTCTGGAGGTTGCCATGCTGATAATTCGAATTGGTTAAGCCACAGGCGGTTTACAGTACTCACTTGAGTTCTAATAATTCATCCAGCAACTCTCATTGCATGTGAATCGCATATCACAGGCCTAAGTAACTGCCCATCATCAACAAATCTCGTCATACTCTCCCCATCATCGCACACGTATCATATCGTTCACCCTCCATCAGTGCATCTATCAAATGGTGTCTCTTAGTGCGGGGCTCTCTTTGGTGGGTGGGAATCCAAAAGGGTGTCATGTGATGCTTCGAAACTGGCCAAGATCATGACATCTTCGCAATGCCCATGATGGGTGTTGTTGATACATATCAGGTCAGGTCAGTTGCGCCGACAGTGCGATTTCGATTCCATTTATGCGCTGATCATAATCCCAGATTCTCTAAAATGAGACCTCAGCGCACAAGACATTGACATCTGGACGGTTTGGTATTGGTTCAGACTACAGACTCGGTCTGCGGCTTACAATTTACATTTTTATTGTCCATTACACAACATGATGGCTTTGGCCAGTAGATGGAGGGTCTGGTGTCGTCTTGCCACGTCCGGTCTTTTCAGTCGCTGACCCCAGAGCACAGAGCTTCCTCATTCCATCATTCATCATCATCATCATCATAGCCAGCCAGCTCATCAATCTCCGATGACACAATGAAACCCCCGAGACACGTTCTCTCAGCAACTCTGTTGTATGGCTCTAGCCCTGCCGTCCGTACCCCCTTTGGCGTATTATGGTTTTCTTTTTTTGTTTGAGCTTGATCATATTCCCCTGAAATGGCATCCAGGAAACGTGAATAAGCTACCGTAGATCGCTTCATTTTCGAGCCCTTTACCGAATCCCTATTGCAGAGTAGTGTATATTGCACGAGACGCTATTTCTTTCTTCTATTGTTGCAATTGTGCGCTTAGCTTATAACCTTGGGGTGTGTTGTTAGACGTTGGATTGTTGTCGAGATATCCCCGCTAATAACATGCATCAGCCGCAAGAAAGAAGACAAAAGAGCCGAGTTCACATATGACTGCGGCCGCCGACGGTGCTCATACTTGCATGAAGCCATGGATGTTTGTTCTGCAACGTTTAATCGGTGGAATTTGTTTCGAGCCCTTGATCCGAAAGAGGCGTGCACTGAAACATCCATGATTAGACCTTACCCTATATCGTTCCGGGTAAAAGAGACTTTTGCTACCAACCCTCCCCGGTGCCCCGGACAAATTCACAGTTTCTCAAAACGCATGAATAATGAAGGATTTTACTCGACTGATGGGGGGGACGCTTTTCCTGGTCGTATCATCTCGTTGAGCTACTGTAGCTTACACGATGACGGCACGTCCCATCCCGCCAAAGTGGCTCTTGGGTCTCTTACACCAACACCAGCAACAACTATCGAAACACATGAATCCGTGGAAGATGCCCTGCCCTGCCCATCCCTACCTCGATTCTCCAATCACTAAAGTCGCTGGTCTACCCCATCTTTTAGCCAGACTCTTTTTTATCTCGCCAAAGTCAATGCCACAGAGATGTGCATGTCACTCTCCGGCCAATAGTTGCCCGTCCCTCAACAACGTGCCTTGACTTCACGTTCCATGACGTTCGAATTCCTCAACCTTCAACACAACCCGGCCTCATTGTCACCCCCGGCTTCAAATCTTGAGTGACATGGACTATCTCAAGTGAGACATGTCCTACGGCGTTGGCCCAGCGCCAATTCAGGGGAAGGGGAAACGAGAAGCACTGTGGAAGGAGAACCGGCCGATCCTTTGAATATGTCGTGTGCTTCTCTGTCACTCTCACCAAAGACAGTGTCTGAAGGATGATTATCAATGCGGCCCTTCTTTAGCCGCCTCAACCGGGTTAAAGACCCGGTCGAGTGTTATCTGCTTCGTAGTAGGGCTCAACTCGGCCTTGCTCTGCATCAAGATTCCCCGCCTCTTGATATTCTTTCAAGGCAAATCTTGGACTCACGCTCAGAGATCTGCCAGTATATGGATACAAATCCACAAACCCACAGACTTTGTGGTCATCTGACTCTTGCAAATGGGTCTTCTTACCAAGCGCAACGTGCAGCTGGAGACAAGAGACGACAGCCCTAGCAAGGCAAGACCGGAATTACATCAAGATATTGCGTGGATCTATACCTCAGATCCGACTAATAAGCTTCCTCCTCCAGAGCATGCATATTACCGTTCCCGGGACCGGACTGGGCGGAAAACTGCTCCACCCCCGATCCCGCTGTGTCACTGAGATATCCAACAGCCCTGGCATCGAATCCTCAATTTCTCAACACGGACGACAAAGTACCTATCTCCCCCCTGATAGATCATCTCCAGAATACGATTCCGGCATCTTGACACACGTTCCGTCGCTGCTTCTAGTTTACACCGAAACTTCCACTGGCCAAAGCTTTCACCACACTGAATCGTCGATCTAGCTCAACCCATCCACAAACAGCTCCCCTCGCTCCCATGTGCCGCCAGGGGGCGTGTAATCAAGGCGAGGAAGTACTTCGTTGTCCCAATTGGCATAACCTTTACATGCTGCTATTGAAAACATCAAAACGTAAGTTAAGTTAAGTTCAATTAGAGATTTGTGAGGCGCACGTTGGTTTCTGGCGAATCAGCTCCGCAACCGCGGGCTCATGGGCGATGAAAGGGAGACAGCATTGCAGGCCTTGCATCATGCACGTTTCTTTTTGAATAGGCGAAGGAAAAGAGTTTTTATGCGTGTTCGTCATGTTTGCATTTGTAAGAAGCGGTGTCGGAATCGAATGCTATGAGCTAGGGGAGGAAAGAAACCCAGGACCTTGATCCTAAGTGATGAAAAGACTTAGGTAACTTAGCATAAGTTCAGCATAAGTTTAGTATAGACTTAGAATACCCTTTGTTAAGTTTATTTTGACACCCCCATATCAAGGCTAGATGTTTTCTTGCTCCCTGAGGACGAGGTACAGCATGAAAAAGCTTGTCACCTCGTTTCCAGGCCCCCGGAATGTTGGGCGTGCACGTGGTTGGAACACAGGGACTGACTTGACTGCGTGTACAATACGTATTAAATGCTCTGTAGCTCTGAGCTGGTCCTATTCCATATCGACGCATGTCGTAAATTCGATTTCGAGTCTGATACTCCGTAGTGTTGCCTCTGTAACAGAGGTTGCGTATCTCGTCCCCAGGGCGCAAGACTTCTGATATTAGATCAAGGTCCTAAAAATACTTAGTCTAAGATTCTCTGAATCTAACTAAATCATATTAAATTACGTTAAATTTACCTGAGTTTACTTAAGGCTTTTTGTCATTTAGGATAGAGATGTTGCCTTTTCATGAATCCCCTTACTCATCTTGCTACTCTCACAACTACGATTCTGAGTAAACATAACATAATTCGAATTCGTGTTGATAAATCTACTTGAGGTATCTACCCGTTATACGCCTGAGTGGTATGTGAACCTCCATATATGACTCCCGTAGTCTGACTGTCGTGTCTTTCATTCCCTGTTCATCCTTAAACTCCTGATACGCTCGAGGTCCATGACGCTCGGCATGATTGCTGATGCATGAAAAACAAAAAACCTTTCTTCTTGAAAGTAATAAATTCATCCATAGGGGCAAAGCCCGCAATGAAACCTTCGTGTAGGTGTAAACGTTCTTGGTGATCCTTTCACCATGGACTTTGCTGGCCCTGAGTCTTCTGGGGTGATGATTCTGTTCCACTAAGATTCCATTCGAAGACGTGGTCCATCTCGCGGAAAACATCTTCCGCCATTTCCATAGGGTCTTGCGACTCATCAGACTCGCGATCGCTCTTAGTCGGATCTGAAGGAGGAGCTGATTGACGCAACTGGTCTGCCGAAAGGAAAGCCTCTGCCATGGCATCTGGCATTGGGCTGCCAACTGTACGCTGTGATTCTGATGGAAGCAAACGCTGTTTGTGACGGATGATAGGTCCTCGCACCACGGCATCAAAGTGCTTATGGAACTTGTCATCTCCAGAGGTAGGAAGTTCAGATATAGGAGTATCAGGTGGTGGTGAGCCTTGACGTCCCTTAGACGTAGATGGGCAAGGCGTTGTTGGGCTACTCGAGTATCCCTTAGTCTCATGGGGTAGCGGTGCGAAGGAGACTCGACGCTCAGAGCTCCTGACCACCCAAGGATTCTTCGTTGCGGAAGCCAGAATACCTTGCGTGCTTGGCATACGACTTCCCGATCCCCTCCAAGCAGCGCGCTTGCTTCTTCGAGAACCATGCCCTGGGGAAGTTGATCTGAAGGACGCAAATGACTTGACCGAGAATTGGGGCTCAGGTGTCGATTCTATGACCGTTGTGGCTGCCGCAGAGGCATCCTGTAGTGGCGCATCAACTTGAGATGCAATGGCTGGTGTGTTTGGCTCTTCGACTGTCGTGCGATCCTCTATTTCGACAACAGGTGTCAGGGCCAGGGGTATCGCCGGCAGTTCGGCCATCTCGTTTGTCCAAGGTGTCTGCTCCACAGGGCTAGATTCAGCGACGATAGTGTCCGTTTCCTTCAACTCTGACATAGGGCTGTCTGTAGATATTTTGCCTAGGCTCAGTGTAGCGTACTGAGAAAGCTTACTATCGGCCCATGGGGTCTGCTGTGAGAAGGGAATGCGTGTGTCCTTTGGTGAGTTGGGTTGGCGCTGTTCTTGCTCTAGCTGTTGTTCCTTGGCTGTGCTATCGACAACAGTTGGTCTCCTCACGTTCTGTAACGACGGCTGGGGAAGACTCAAAGCTCGACGTAGAGTCGTCTTCATGGGGGTAGATTGAACTGATGCTGTCTTCCGTCGACCACTGGGAGAGTTGGAGGCCAGCTTCGACGGGCAAGATGCTCTTCTTTGGGGTAAGCTTTGATAGGCAGGACTTCCAGTCAATTTTGCCAACTTTTCCCATGAGCTTTGAGGAATGAACCTCTTCTTGATTGAAGTTCTGAGAAGATACTCGGCATGAGAAGGTGTTGTGGGTTTTGATGGCGTCGTCTCAGCCTCACGACGTCCTGCCAAGGTTTGTGGCGTCCTATTATTGATTGTTGTTGTTGTTGGGGATACGACTTCAGTGGCTTTCGCTTTGCCAACCTCTTCCTCTTCCTCTTCTTCGCTAGATTCATCCACAGAAGCAGTTACACTGTCCTCGTGGTTTTCAGTTACAGCCAGGCTGCTGGTGACATCGGTTGTCCCACCCATGTCCTCATCTTCTGACCCTGTGGTTGATTGACATTCGCTATACATTTCTTCAGCAAGGAGCACCATTCCGTCTTCCGCTGACACGTGACTAGGACAACTTGTGAGCTCCGAATCAGATGTCGTGGTGTCAATCATCCGGCTGTCAGAAACATCGAATCCATGAAACTCCTTGCTTGAAATGGATGACAGAGGGCTTGTCACAGCAATTTGGTCAATTTCCATCGCAACATCCGAGTCTCGTAGGCTGCGCCCTTCCTCTATTGGTGTGCTGTTTTCGGATATTGTGCTGGCCAAGTCGTCATTAGGGGATGACAGGCCGGACCAAGTGTCCTCATCTCTGGGCATGGATGCAGTTTCCACAGCCTGGTTGAGCTTTGGTCGCATTTTGAAACAGAAACTGTCATCTTCTTGGGTCTCGAAAGCTGGGCGACGTGTTAGATTGTTGCTAGCCGTTTCATCTTGAGCTCTCAAATCAGTAGTTCCGGGTACAGAGCCTCGTTGGGGAACTGAGACTTTGCTTGGTGTTGAGAAGAATCTCTTTTTCGCAATGGCGGAAGACGGCAACCGATCGGGGACACTTGAAAAGGATGTGTTGAACGCCGTAGCTGAGAGCGAAGGTTGATTTCGGGACGGGACCGGAGTATCAATGGAGCCCGTTTCCGTGACATCTGTTCTTCGTCGTTTATTCGCCAAATGTTTCAACCATGATGATCCCTTGGCCTTTCGCTTTCTCTCAGATAATGACCCTTGTGGTGTTGATGCCCAAAACTCGTCCTTCGGTTTCTTCTCAGCATCCACGGCATCTCTCCATTCTCGGACCTTGGCCAGCTCATCTTCTTCCAAATAAGGGTGTGTTTCGGTCTCGGAAGTTTGGTTGAGGCTTTCGGGGCTCGGGAGGTGACATTCCAGACTATCACTAGCCGGCTGAACTGTCTCTGGTATAGATACGTTGCGTCGAACATTGGCGGACCTTTTCAATTTCCCTGGCGACGTCCTTATTATTCTTGCGTTTCCAGCCGTTCGGTGCTTTGAACGCCAAGGGTTAACCCAGTTCGAGGACGTCGCATCAAAGGGACCTCTGAGCAATGCGGTCAAGAGGACTGGAGCCTTTCCGTCGAGAAATCTTTGACCGGCTGCTTCGATACGCAGTTTTCGTGACATAGGGTTATCGTAGTTCTCGTCGTCTGAGCCTTCGTACAAGACATCTTCGGGGTCGCAAGTCGCTTCGCAGTAAATCGTGTCTTCACCCCATCCCAGAGCGAGCTCGTCAGCTAGAGGATCAACGGTCTGGGCGGCCATGTTGATAGTATTGGAGGCTTGCGCCCTCCTGGTGGGAATTCGTTGTCTTTAGAAGCATATACAGGGTACAGCGTTGACCGACTGTTTGGGTGATTATTGATTCCTGATCCCTGTCTAAAGAAATGGATTCACGGTCTATCACCAGGGAGACGCGCCCCGCGTCAAGTCACGTGATGTCGCGTAAAGTGCTTTATCGTACGTCATGACGGTGACACAGAGCGATGGAAGTCCATTCACATAGGAAATTATTCTTATTGATGAGGAATCGAATAGGAAACAATAGAAAAAATGTTTGAATTCATGCTTTTGTTTCTAATTGAAATTTGAAGACCATCCTGTGTGATAAGGGTCAAAAAATGCTTCTTGAAGCATGTCCTCGGGGAGCAAGAAAGCATAAGACTTTAGAATACCTTAGGGTGCTAAAATAGATTTAGTGAAGAGTCCCATAAGCTTAGGCTAAGTCACCTAAAGTCTTTTTGTCTTTTAGGATCAAGGTCCTGAGTTTTCCTCCCCTGGCAATCAAGATCGTTCATGATACTGGCTAGCATGCGTGGGTCTCACCGTTGACAGAGCAACGGCTCTAACCGTATCAAGGACCCTGGTCTTGTTTATCTCGATTCTCCAAAGTCCAATGCTCAAGGATACGCGCAAACAACGTCGTCTCTCGATCTGTATTTCGCATGTGCTTGTTTGTTTAAATATTTTGTCGAGACCCCATGTCTTAGTTCAACAACCCTACTTCTCGCCTGTGATTTAAAACATCTTCACCTCAGCATTCTCATTCCTCTCCTCCTGGGCTCTGTCTTTGAGTCGTCCCTTGTACACTTGCAACATAAACACATCACCTCGCGACCCCACCAACCGCCGCCTATGATTTTTGTTTAGTTCATGGCTTCGCATTGACATTTTTACACCTTGATTTGCGCTTCCAGGGTGACACCATGGAGCACGCTTGGTTGGACTCATTGTCCGAGGATTGGGTTTCTCAGCCCAGATCCGATTCCTCTGCCATTCAACTTCCCCCTTTGAAAGATACCGAAGAACCCAAGCCAAAACCAAGAGAGACGCCGAGTAGGATACCGCGTAGAACGTTGGGCTCACGACCCCAATTATCGCCAGCTGCTCGCGATTCGAGCTTCAACATACTTAGCGAGCGCACCGCGAATGATATCAACATTTCGAGCCAGCGCATCGTTAGACCATCACCACAAGGCTCCAAAATTCCACCCGGGAGGTTTGCCAGTAGATCTGTCTCTGCCTCCACGAGCGCTTCTGTTGTGCATAACACTATTCAACACAAATCGTCACCTGGAAGGCAACAGGATACACCAGAGTGGAAGAGACGACTGGTGTACGGCGACGTTCAGTATGGCGAACAGCGCGACCTGTTTTGTTCAGCTGCGACCGGATTACAAGACATGTTCAGACCGCCCGACGCTTCAGGTGACGATGCAGACGAAGAGGGACGCCTGGAATCTTCTATGATGCCGTCTAGTCCACCGTCATATTCCCAGCGCGTTGCCAGCAACGACCTCGAACCAGATCTGAGTCAACTCAACGAGCTTGATGAACTTGAGGACCAAGAGCCATTTTATCCAAACGATGTTACACCGAGCCCTAGCCCCCGACGTGCACAAAGAGAGATAAAATACAAGCTCAATGTGGAAGATTCTATGGTGTCCAGTATACCTAGCCCTCGAGATGAAACCCCCTCAAGACACCGAGACGAGTCTTATCGCGATGAAAGCTGTTTAAGCGCTCCTTCTGAGACGAACGGTAGCGTTCGAAAGATTAGCGGCCAAAGCGTGATTCGCAATGAAGATTTCAGTCCCATTCTTATCGGCAAGCAGAGCGACAAGGACGGCAATATGGACTTTGCGCCCATTGAGCTGCCAGCAGACAGATTGAAGCAGAAACTCGAAGCCTTGCGCATTAATCAAATGCTGCTAGATCCCGCAGTTGACCCTAAGACGGGATTTGATGAGCCTAACCCGGAAGCTTCTGCTTCTCCTGAGGATACTGAAGAATATGCAACAAAAGGCGGATTCTTGAACCTCCAACGAGGGGGTCGATCAGGAGATGGTTCATTCCGCTATCGTGATCTCAGCCCTGGCTTGGGCGTTGACACAAGTGGAATGCTTCCAGAGGAGTCCCTGCAGGCCAGCACTCCCAAACAGTTTCCTTCCGTAAGAACGGAAGTTACCAACCCATATCAAAACGACTACTTCAACATTAGCCCGTCCTTGCCACGAGCTCCTTTCCCCAGTCCAGACAAGAAGCAGATTAATCAGGGCAGAAGTGCGCCATCTGCCGGAAGTCCTCTCAAGCTTTTTGGCCCTTATGATACATTTACCAACCAAACACTGCTCCGGCGTATCAGTCAATTCGAGGAAGGCATGTCAGGTACCCCTTCCCGGCAATCCTCAGGGTCTCAAGCTCCTCGCGATCAGTCTGATATTCCCGCTCACGAATACGGAGACTCCATGTCTAGCCCTGCTCTGCCGACAACGACTCACAGGCCTATCGGTGGAAGATCTTTCAGTCGGTTTGGCCTTGGAGATCTTGAAGGATACGAGTTTAGTGAGGAAGTTTCTTATGCCTCTCAAGGAGATGCAGTCTATTCCGACAAGGAGAATGATGCCCCTCAGTCACCAGATGTTCCACCAGTTGAGTCAGTTCTTCAACATCCGGAGCAGGTAGCGTCTCCCAGTCATGACGCCCAGTTACTCGTACGCAGACGCCGGGGCAAGTCCACATCTTCGTCTGGTAGCAAGCACCACAGGACAACCTCGGGTTCTAGTCACATCCACAGCAAATCTCTGAGCCCAGCAAAGGGAGCGCCAGGCAATGTCAATACCCCCAAACGCGATAGCGGATCAGAGGGTAAGAGACCTCGAACGTCTCCGTCCAAGGATCCAACGCCAAAGCGTCGCCGCACGCTACATCGTTCCGACATTGCCTTTGGCCGAGAAAATAGGTTAGAAGGAGTGGAGTCCGCCAGCCGCGACATGCAGTCCATCATGGGAAGGAAACGCAAGGATGCACGACCTAGTGAGTTCCAACTTGCGAACCCCAACGTGCTTGCAATGAGAAACATTCTCCGCCCACGCAGTCCTACGCCAAGCCGTGGATCGTCCCAGCGTAGTGAGCCGAACGAGACCATGCACTCGGAGGATGATGTAACCCACGAAAAGCCGAAAAGGACTCTTGTCCGGGCATTGCAGGAGGAGACTGTGGGTTATTCTACGGATGGCCATAGTGAGGTTGACCGTAAGCCGTCTATTAGGACTCAGGACTTTGTCGACCAGGCTGCACAAATCATGGCCATGATCCGCAACCAAGTGAGACCACCAGGTCTCTCAAGTGTGGAAGAATCGGAGGCTGAGCACGGCACACCCGAAGGGGATGACCTCGATGACTCTTATCAGGAGTCAACGAATGAGCCCTTGTCTCGTCCTCCAAGCCGTGAAGGAAACCCGATGCCCAGACCACCCAAGCATCAGGAGGATCCAGAGCTGATCAAGCGGTTGAGGAAGTACCAGGAGTTTAGCGACATGGGAGACATCATTACCTTGTCTATGCGATCCATGGGCCTGGTCAAGGAAGCAATTCTTGCCGATCAAGAAATTGAGCAGGAAATTAAGAAGGCGCCTCGCCAGCGATCAGAGCTGTCATACAACACTGAAGACGAAGTCATCAGCGATCCACCTAACATTCGATTGTCCGCCGGCCCTGCTCATGATGCGATACCATCAAGTCCCTCACGCGACTATCATTCCCAGTCATCGGGGGTATCGACAAATAGAACCTATCCTACAACGTCCTCGCATGGCTCTGAGACCCGAAGAACTATCATGCCCGAAAGTGTGTCACATCTTATCCCGGATCGAGTGGGCAGTATGTATCTCGATAAGCAAAACAATATCTGGATCAAGAAGAAGGAGACACCTACTCGGCGGCCTATGAATATTCTTCCATCAGACAGTGAGGATGATCCTTTCGCCAGTATCCCAGATTTGTCTGTGGATTTGACGAGAGAGATGCAGAACCTCCATCTCACCACCGCCAAGAAGAGCAACGCGGCTGGCAGCCCAAGCCAGGCCAGGTCGCCCACAAGCCCATCCAAGTTTGCAAAGTTCCAATCTGCCAGAGGCTTCACGACATTGTCACCTGATGGGCAGCTGAGCCCAGAGATGAACAGCCTTGTCGGAGAAGAGTTCGAGAAGTTAGATGCCCGGGTAATGGAAGATTCCGAGCTGTATCTCGAAGAATCTCGCCAAGATGAGAGCAGCTTCCACGACGAGAAGGCTAACAGCACTCCCTCGACGACCACCAAGAAACGTAACCTCACCATCACGTTCTCTTCGCCTGTTGCATCCATCATACAAGATGTGGTGGTGGCAGAGGATTTGGACAACCTTGAAGATGATCCTGAGCTTCCCAGTGGCCATTTCAACAACAGTTCATCACCTAGGAAGTCGCCAGGCCATGCCAGCATTGGAAAATCAGCATTGAAGAACGGTGGTAATGGCCAGGGCTGGAGTAACCGTATTCCTTCACGAAATGGCCCAGCATTTGTTCCTCGACCTGTTTCGCGGATTGACGAGCAAGATGAGGATAGCACAATCGAGCTTCCTATTGATGACCAGCGCCAAGTTAGCATCATTGGGGACACAAGCGTCGTCAGTCACAAAACACCCGACGGCCGCCGCACAAGTCTCAGCTTCGTTGTAAACCCAACGCCAAACAACAACTTCTACCCAACTCCTACGGATGACAGTGTCATGATCGGCCAAAATGTTGGAAAGCTTTCCCTTAGCCCTTTGTCTGAATTTACTATCAACAATACGGATCAGTCGTTCGGCTTCGAGGTTAGTTATGTTATGGGTCGACGGCACGGGGCCACTGGAGATGGTTCTAAGAAGGTCATGTCCATGACGATACGGGAACTTGTGGACAAGCTTAGTGAGGTTGAGCCGTATGAGCCTTACTGGGAAGAC